AGGGTGAATCTCTGCATAGTGTTAGATATGTATGATTTGGGTGATATTGATGTAAAAAAGCCTATATACACTCCCTTTATCAATTACTATGGAAAGAAATAATTTCTATGTTACATACAATTTAAGAGAAGAAACCTTCTTAATGAATGAATCTACAATAAAATAGAATACAACCCCAACCCCCTAGATAGCCTTTTGTTCATTTAATTCTACTCCTATGATATTTTATCAATACTATTTTCTAAAATAGCTCCATCACCATTCTCTCTAAAAAATAAAAATGATATAAAAAAATAAGCATATCTAATCAGAAAACATGTAGTTGATAATTGGTGTCTTCGGGGAAAAAATAAAAATAAAAATAAAAGAGAACTTACCCGAGAAAGACTCGTCCGATGATAAACCCAAAATTTTGGTGGAAGCAAGATCTCAAGCCGAAGTCATACTATACAAGGTAAAGTTAACCATAAAAACCAATCATCTTTAAATCAAAAACAAGAAATTAGCTATAAAATCATACTTTGACTTAGGACAAATTCCATACCCATATCCAGAAGAAATAGGTCAACTGAAATGCATTCTGCATAAAATATTTAAAATGTCAGACTTCAGATTGTAATTTTATTATCTATTTATTTATTTTGCATTATCACATAATCAAGTCATGAGAGCAGTTATATCGCAAATACTAAAAAATATTGGTAACTTTCGGAAAAAAGTAACAGAAAGGAGAATAGGAACCAACCATAAACAATGTGAAATGTATTAAAGAAAGAACAAGACCAGGATTCTTGAACCAAAAATGATTATCACTTAGCTGAACCAAAGGAACTCCTTGAACAACAGCATGTTTTTCTTTAATTTCTATCGCCATTTTCGCAATTATCGCCTGCAGATTCGTCCCAATAGCCAAGAGAATCTGCAAAAGCGAACAAAAAATCAATTCTTGAAGAATTTTTTGCAGGCCAGTTATTGGTAAAGATCAATATAGGAAGATTTACATACATACCACTCAATTCCCACGTATTTACATATCGAAAATCTAAACTTCAGTTTTTACATGCATACTACCTTTCACAGGTATGAAAAAGGTGTATTTCACTTTTTTTTTTCCCTAAAAGGTTGTATTTTTTATGCGCTATGAAAGATTTGAGTGGTATAAATGCAAAGATCAAAATTTAGGTGTTGGGTATGTAAATGGATTTTACAATTGGGGGAAGTAGTGACACCCAGAATAGTTCCTTCCATCCTACAATAACAAAAGAAAATGTGAGTTTGTTTGTTAATTGGATGCTTCGTACAAAATGCTGCAGAAAATTATTACTTGCCGTGAACATTAAGCAGTAAAAAAACAACCGCAGATGCCCACAGAAGAGGTCTGAAAAAAAAAATAGGAATGAGCCAAAAAAAAGGAGAAAGATTCACATACATACCACTCAATTCTTATGTATTTATATATCTAACACCTAGACATCGAATTTTACATACATATCACCTTATCTATGCATGAAAAGTTGTCTTTCACACTTTAAAAAGTTAAAATTGTGGTATTTTTTATGTGATAGTAAAGATTTGGGTGATATAAATTGAGAAGGTGAAGTTTAGTTGTGGATATGTAAATACGTAGGAATTGGCTGGTATGTATGTAAATGTCCCCCCTTCCTCCCCCAAAGAGAGAGAGAGAGAGAGAGAGAGAGAGAGAGCGAGAAAATAAAGAAAAATCAAAGGTGGCATTAATCACAATGAACTACAAGTTCATAAGAATCGATGCTTTAAGATTCTCAATATTATTAGAAGATTTACAAACATACCATTAAATTCCTATGTATTTACACATCTAACATCTAAGTTTCAATTTTTACATATATGCAATCTTAACTATGCTTGAAAAGGTGTAGTAGTAATTTCAGAAGTTAAAACTTGTGGTATTTTTTATGTGATATGAAAGATTTGGGTGGTATAAATGTGAAAAGTAAAGTTTAGGCATTAGATATGCACATACATAGGAATTGAGTAGTATGCATGAAATGCCCCAATATGATTTTGTGGAAAATCAAAGGTTGGGAACAGAGGAGCCAGTAATTTACAGTACCTGATTACAACTACTACCTTGAAGTCGTCTTCCAGTGACCTTTTTATATATTTTTGGAAATTAAATTTGCTTCCAGAAGCCAAATGGACCTGAAAACATGTTCTGGGATACAAAATAAAAAGAGAAAAAAATGAAAATAACATTTTTCTTGCAACTTACATTTATGAAACCATGACGGAGAGTAAGGTAATCTGCTTTTCGAACAGATCTGAAAAATTGGTGGAAGAAACAAACCTGTAACACAAGCATAATTAAATAGTAGCCATAAAAAGTTTAACAGATGTGTATGCCAGCTCAGTAGAAATCATTGGAGTACACGTACTACTCGCCGACTTGCCACAAATGTTCATCAACTTGCAGTTGATCTCATTTTTATGAGGTCCGTCTCTTTCTTTTTAGAATCTAAGATCTAGCCTTAGGGTTTTTCTAATGACTCTCCTAGAGAACTAGTGTTGCGACACACTCTAAATGTAAGAAATTAAAGAAAAATGAAAAAAAATAGAAATTAAATGTGTCAGATTCGGGAAAACTAGGAGAATTTAATAAAAATAAAACCAGAATATAATAAAATCAAATAAATTTTAAATGATTTTTAAACTATTAAAGCAACAATAAGACAAAATTTAAAATATAAATCAAAATAAAATGAAATTTCTGTAATTTTTGACCATATGACAAATTAAACCTCTTGACCATATGATATTTCTGTAATTTTCTCATAAACAAAAAAACTATGTTGGTTACTTAAATGAAATTTTCATGGGATTTTGCATTTATTGAAATAAATAATTCTAGAAATTTTAAACCTTACTGGGAAGAATGAAACATAATGGGTTAGTTAGAACTTTAATCAAATCAATAAAACATGCAAAAGGTTATAAGTGTAACTAGCAAATTGTTAAAAATTTGAAACTTTAAAATGCTTGGATGATTAATTGGTGGGCAATATTGTTTAGAATTGTTTAATTTACTGATTAAGACCTTCCATCATAATTTGAATGGTTTTGCATAATAATTTACTTGAATATTAATAAAATTGATAATTTTGCAAAAATATCCTTTAAAATGAACAAATAAAAATGATTAACTTGAAGACTCTGATTCGAATGACACTTAAAATCATAAATGTATAATTTTGATTAATATTGGAACTAAGTTAAAAGTAAGCATTGGTAAGTTTGTAGTTTTTTCCTTTAAATTTACAAATTTATCTTTACTTAACTTTAATTCATTAAATCAAAATTTAATTGAATAAAAATATTGAAATTTATGGTATAACTTGAACTTGATAAGCAAATAATATACTAATTAATAGATATATAGTGAATTTTGATAGTTTTGAAAGTAATTTAGGATAGTATTGTTATTTTCTTCAAAATTGCAATATTATTTTTATTACACTAGGAACTTCAACATGAACTATATATAATTCAAAAATTACTAAAATTTAAAATGAAACTCTTAAATAAAACATAAATAACAAAACACTGCAAAAATGTATAAATTTAAAGTTAGTTTTGAGGTAAATTTGTAAATTTCTTCACTCACTAATGCAACCCAAATAATTGAACCAAATTAATCAACTGAAGATAAATCATTAAAAAAATATTTCCAACCTAGGTAGAAATGGTTGAAGTATACATAAGATATTTACAAACAAACATTTCTCAGTAAAACTTACATAACTTTCTTTATAGAACTTCAAAATCACTGAAGTCCATAGGTTAATTGAACTGAAAGAAGTTGAAAAATATAAAATTCACTTTGATTGATTACTTTTTAATAATTTTCTATTAATAAACCTATTCATAAGTTCAAGAATTCATGAAAAATCTAAAATAAACTTGAAATGACTTGTAAAATTCTGATGTTGTTTGGAATCATATTCCAAACATTTCAGTAAATTTCAAGTGTTTTGGATATCCTTTCGATTTATTATAAATTTTTAAATAAAATCACCTTCAAAATTAAAATAATTCTAATAAATCAAATAAAATGCAAAAATTCATAAAATTTTAACATAAAGCTTTTCAACTTGATATCCATCCACAAAAATTATTTTTATATTATTTTGAAATCATTTAAGTCAAAATATCTAAAACCCTAAAAAACACAAAATTTTCAACAAAACAATTTATAAAAATTCACAAAACAACCAAAATTTCTAAAAAATGTAATAATTGAGTTTATAAGAATCATATTCACTTCACCCGAGGATTGATGAGATCTTATAAGTTCTAATAATGTTAAACATTGATATATGCCTTCAAAAAAGCATATAAATATATTTAATAATAATGATAATATAATGATGAAAATAAAATAATAATAATAATAAACAATAATAATTAACTATTTGGGTTTACGAAGACTTCTTGGTCGATACAACCCATGATTGCTGACAAAAGTCTTATGGTCTGAACAGGTTTAAGTACCTCTTTAAGTTATGTAAATCCAAAACTAACAGCAGTACCAGAATGACAGAACCATGGGATCTTGACCGGTGTTGCATAAAATAAAATTTAATTAGTTATCATCAATCACTTCAATAATCGCTTCCATCATGATGAACACTAACCTAAATTTGTTTCACATGGCTTCTATAAGTAAATAATAAGAGCCTAGAATAGCCCTTTCGAGACATGATTTTCTTCTTCTATTGAGTCATTTTCCTTATAGAGTTAGGCAATGTTGTGGTTAGTTAATAATCAAGATCTGAGATATCCAAAAAAAGACGAAACACGAAGCGAAGGGTAAACCTCAACAAAACCATCAACGTTGTCTCAAATGACGTTGATTAATAAATCGTAATCTTTTAAAATTTCGAGATTGATCGTCTGGTACGACGTAAATCCTCACACATTCTTAAATTTTTGCAAGATTGTAAGTCATGCAATTAAGTCCTAAATTTCTAAATAAATTGTAGGTTTGCAATATCAAATAACTTCTCTTTCAAAGAATTAAAGTCAAACCATAAGTTAATTTAAGATGTCACTGAGGTTTCTTCGATCTCTTAGACATCTCTTACTATTCATTCATTTGGATTCCAGAAATAATTGTTCCACATTGAGTCTTTTTCATTTGATTTTCCTACAATCAATCATGGAAACTAAACTTCGAATTCTTAAAGACGAAACCATAATCTTAATCGAGAGTTTTCTTCAATGATCTTAGTGGATGCAATCAAATTTTCAAGAGATAATTATTCATTGTGTTTCTAATCAACCGCAAGATCATTGTTTAAATTTTATGATAGATATTATTTATTTGTTTTTTTTTTAGATTTTTTATTTTGATCTTTTCGTAATATAGATCATTTAATTTTGATTTTAAAAGTATTGTTAAGTGGTTTCATCTTAAATTATTTGCATCAAATTTTTTAATCATTGGTAAGTTTTTCATTACATGTGAGCTGTCTAGAATAGTTTCATTAATTTTTTTGACTTGCGTCATTAGCTTAGTGTCGCAAAAAAACTAAATATGATTGGCATTGGCTCATGTAAAACAATACATAGGTAGTAACCAATCAACTCCTTTATTGCACTCATCTCAAAACAAATCCACGGACTTAAAAGCATGAACAAATTTTAATTAGGAAAGACCATATCTTAACCCCATTGCCTTTGCCTCAATACTTGTCATTGTACTGCCCCCCTTCAAAAAACTATCTAACCAAGAAATAAGCACTGTAGTATAAAAAAATATACTGTAATCCAAAAATTCATGAGAAGAAAAAGTTAAACCAATTGTGATTTACCATAGCTTTTCATTTTATGCCAGAGAAAAACAAAGCAAAAAGAATGCCAGGTGCTCAGTGAAAAGGAAACTGGTGAATTAATACTTCTGATTAAGCATAAATTTTCACCTACAATTTGCTCCAAAACTCAAGAAATAAAAGAACACTTTACTTACAAAATAAAGCAGAACAGGATGCATGTCCCACAAAGTTGTGTGTTCTTTCACAAAGGATGTCTCACGGACCAATCTGAATCTTGACGGATCTATAAATTATCAACAAAGTCGCGACAGACATTAGATAAATTTTTCAGAAACACATTAACAGTAGGAATTGATGCATTAAAGATTGAACATACGAAAAAGAATTTAACTGCTAGAGTTAAGTTCGTCTGCGGCCAAAATGTGTGTTGATGAGTACTAAATGATTAGAGAATATTAAAAATAAGGGAATTTTACGTAAGTACCACTCAAATCCTCTGTGTTTACATATACAACACCTAAACTTCAATTTTTACATATATGTCACCTTACCTCTGCATGACAACGTGTATTTTGACTTCTTAAAATTAAAATTGTGATATTTTTTATGTGATATAAAAGATTTGGGCAGTATAAATACATACATAAGAATTAGCTGATATGTAAATGCCCCTACAACAAAATAAGTCATTAATAGCCAACTAGCTTGGCAGAAACAATAATTTTAAGATAGGTATGCAATAAAACTAAGAAAGATATTATATTAGTAGGAGGATTAGGTAAAAGAATAATAAAGTGAGAAGCATATTTAGATGGCTTAAAAGTCTACAAAACAAGGCAAGATATACACCAACAATAGAAATAGACATTATTAGCATGCACGAGTATTAGGAAGGTAACCTGGTTAAAACTTATGCAAAAAGCCATGCAACATAAAGTTAAGACCATAAATGAAACTCAATAATAATTAATGGAGACTGGGAACTCATAAATCCACCAATAATGATGACTTTATTAGCAAAATTGGTAAACGGATTTTATTAACAATATAACTTAAATCTTGGACTCGCGAGATTTATTTTGTCTACTATGAAAATGTACCATGAGAGAACTCATAGTTAAGGGATCGAGTTTCATTTTCCCACTCCTTCCATCGGCGAATCTGCATGAAATAACAACCCCCATCAAACCATAACCACACAAATAATAATAATAGTAAGCAATTTCATTTATCTTTGGACGTTCAAAAGAAAAATTTGAAATCAATACTGAAATCATGGGAAATAGTACTACCTTCAATCTTCCCAGAGCCATTGTTAGAGCGCTGCATACAACATGAAATACTGCCAGGAAGAATATGAAGATGTGCAACTGATGCAATCCATTTGTTGAAACAAATGAGACTTTCCCCTGAAAACAAAAGTGCAGACATAACAATGAAAAAAAAAAGGTTTACATAAATACCACTCAATTCCTCTGTACCTACATATCTAACACAAAAACTTAAATTTTTACATACATGCCACTTTACCTATGCATGAAAAGGTGTATTTCACCTTTGAAAAGTTAAAATGATGATATTCTTTTATGTGCTCTCAAAGATTTGGGTGGAATAAATGTAAAAGGTAAAATTTAGGTGCTACATATATAAATTCATAAGAATTGAGTGACATGTATGTAAATGCTCATGATGAAAAATAGTAAAAGACTTTATAATAACTTACTAAATGGAATACAGATTGAGTGTGTAACAGGCGTAGAGAACCCATAATTCGTTGTTTGAAACAGTGGGATTGCATGGCCTTGTATTTATACAAGTATATTAGTACTATATTGCTACAATAGCAAAGTCTGTTTTAAGTGGAGAACTGTGACCTTTTAGTTGACTTTAATGGTGGAAAGAGGGACTACAAACTCGTGAAGAACTCTCCGGAGCAAGATGATATCAGTAACAGAGTCGGCAAAAGCGTGATATTCTACCTTAATTGAGTAGTTGACTATTGCTTTATGCACAATGAGATTAAGTTTGACCAAGACAGTCACAATAGACTGTAGGGTTTAGGTAATCATCATCCCAGTCATAATCTAAGTATGTACTAAATCTGAGGTTATTGTACTGGATTGGAAAAATATGGAGGCAAGTGCTTTTAATGTATCACAAAGCTCATTTAAGGAAGTAAAGTGTTGATTTAGAGGCAAGGTCGAGGTGAGTGATTGATAGATATGAGAGAGAGAGTTGGTGAAGTGGCGGTAGAGCTCGGGCTAGGAAAGCTCGAAGAGCATATAAGGATTAGAGGATAGTTTTGATGAGATAAGTATTTATAGTAGTTTGTGTTTCACATGCCAACTTGGTCAGATATGATGATTATATATTGGGGCTGATTTAGGAGCAGTCTATGTGGTGTCAGTTGCACTAGGAGACTGAGAAAGTAGGATGGAGGTCCAAGATTTTTTTATATGAAATGTATTTTGAATGTATTGTAGGAAGTGAATCATGGCTAGTAAGTATTGCTGGTGAGGATGATATCATCCGCATAGATCAAGATGTAAGGGATAATATCATTATGATAATATATCAACAGTGACAAATCAACAATGTTAGGACAAAACCGAGACACTAAATATGTCCATTGAGAGTGGCCAAACACTGGCTAGGACGCTAGGTGCTTGTTGAAGTCTATAAAGAGCCTTTTTAGAAATGCAATCATGATCGGTATCAATAAATACTTCAAGAAGTTTAATGTAAACATTCGGTGAGGTTAACGAGTAGGAAGGCATTAAACATATCAAGGTGATGGAAAGGCCAATTGCGAGTAAGAACTACGGTTAGTCGAATTTGAATAGTCAGCATTTTGGCCATTAGGCCGAATCTTTTGATATAATTGTCATCGTTTTCATGTTTAAAACCTTGAGTATTAAGGGGAACTTCACATCGAGCAATGGTGTCATCTAAATCGCACTTCATCCTGTAGATCCATTTGCAGCCTATGAGATTCAAGATAGGAGATGGAAGAAAAGTTTCTAGGCGCCTTGTGATCGCAGTGCCTGAAATTTAGCAGGCATGACATCATTTTTTTGTCCTTGTCTACTACAAAAGAACAAGTCAACTCGGAAGGGTTGGCATTATTGCCATAGGATGAGTTGCAAGAATGGAACTAGGTTGAGGAGCTACTATAAGTTGACGAATTATAATGGTTAGCTCTAGAGGCATAGAAGTGTGTTCATTACAATAAGGAGTTGTGTTGGTGGACTATGCCCATCTAGGAGAGGAGATTTTGAAAATTAAAGCTGAGATATTCTCAACCTACATTCAATTAGAGGGTTTTGATATGGAATTTTTTTTTATCTTCTGCCATTTTTTTTTTTAAACAGGATAAATTTAGAAAGCATTTTAAACTTAAAGAGTCATAAGATACACCCAACAAAAGTGTGAGAAATCATCAAGAAATAAAACATAGAATTTACCTCCATAAGTGGAAGGTGTGAGGGAAGGACACCATACCATACATCGATGGCAAGTAAATGAAGTAAATGCAAATCTCGTAAGTGAAATCAAAGCATGGAAATCTATAGCTTTTGGCAAGACGGTGAGAGGAACATTGTGAGGAAGAAGCCAGAATGCATATTCCTAAAGTATAATTTGTCCTTTATGAGAGAATGGCTGAACCCAGGTGACCCAGTTGGCAATGTCAAAGAGCTAGAATAGGTTTAGCAGAAAGCAAAGCAAGGCGGCAAGATTAGTTCATGGATGGGTATAGACCTCTATGACTGTTGAAAACTGAAATTTAAAATAAGCTAAAACCCTACCTGATACGTGCTCCCGCCCAAGGATGTAGATCACTGCAACCTCTCCCACTCGTTTGCACGTACAGCAACCGAAATCCAAGCCCCCGGCAAAAAACCCGAAGAAACCGTTCGCATCCCTCTCCTTGACATTCGGACGCAACCAAAGGTCCCCGCTTCAGTTCTTCTCGGTCGTTCCCCTCTCGCTTGCGGCCGTCGCGCAGCAACACAAACCGCCGTCCGTCCTTCCTTCTCGCGCAAGCAGACTTCATCCTCTTTGCCTCTCCTGTTCGCCGACGGAGAACTTTCTACGGCAGTCACGATGATGGTTGTGTTGGCAGATAGCATAAAGCACCAACCAGATGGATTAATTTTTAAAATATTAGTTTTAAGATCACAATTATAAACTAATAAATCAAAAGTACTTAAGTAAATTCAATCACCTCAAATTACTAAAAATATAATGCATCAATCATTCATTAAAGTTATTGGATGATGATAAATTTGAGATTGATTTTAGCTCATAAAAAGTGAATATCACTTCGAATATATAATTATATCTACACTATCATGGTAGTAAGGACATGAATCAAGTTACCTACCCAAGTGGCTTGGCTCAACCGCTCCACAAGAAATAACAGTTTGAATTACAACTATCTGACTGCGTGATTTGGTGTCGGCTATGGTATGTGTGTTCTTCAGTGACCTTCTATTATTTGAATTGTGAATCATAAGAGTATATTTAATTATCACAAAATCATCTATTAGCTAACGTTAAACATTCACCTC